AAACCAACTTATTTTTACTTTTATAAATATTCTATAGTTTTTCTTAATTTAAGTAAAATTTAGTTTTATATACTTTGAAACGAGCCCCTAATTTTAAAAAAAATAAATAAATTATTTTATGACTATCATTATTTCTTAAAATTATATATAATTAGCAGCAACAGCAGCATTAGTGTAAATTTTTTAAGACATAAATAGAAATCTAATTTAGTGATGAAATTTCCTAAGAATTAAACTATTTCTATCATATCCAACTCTAAGTTTCCGAATGTTATGGACATTATTTTAAAAAGATCAAGATAATTTTATATCATGTGATGTAAATGGAATCATTTTTTACTTGTTATTATTTAAATTTTAATAAAAAGGAATTAGAATAGCCAATTTTCTATTTTCTCTTTATTTAAAATCTAATTTAATTAGTTCAATTTAATCCATGTTAATAAAGAGTTGATTCTCTTTTTATATCAAAAGACAGGATAATTTTTTTAAATTAATACTTAAAAAACTTTCTAACCCTAAAATTACTATCTTTCTGATGATAAAAAAATATATCTATTTCATGTTTAATTTTTTACAGCTTTTAGGAAATAATCACATCAATCCAAAATTAAATCTAATTACAATTCTTTATCTGCTAAGTTTTAAATCATCCTTACTTTATTCAAAAATTAGCTATGAATTTCATGATCCATCTAATCATATAACTATTTGAATTAATATTGAATTTCCCTATTCATGTTTATTCATGAGGCCAGTCTTTAAAACATACATTAAATATTAAAAAAATAGATGAATTATCATCTCTTGATTATTTTAAAATATGTAAAATTTGAGAATAATTTTGCCTGTTAGTACATATCTTTAGTAAATATTATAGTTTATACTACTATTTGCTATTATTATTATTTAATACTATTTTATTTAAATGAATTTATTTCAATTTTTCAATTTCTTTCAAATTTTAAAAATTACATAAATATATATATTTCCAATTAAATGGACTTACAAAAATATTTTGGAAATTTCTTCAAAACATCAAATTAACTATTTTACTAATTAGCTCATCTACAGATTTCTATATAGTTTTAATAAAATTCCTTACTTTCTGTTAATTATTAGTCTAAGCATTGTATTTAGTTATTATCTTATATTCTTCTAAAGGAGTTTATGTTAAATTAATTCAATATATTTAAATTAAGAAAGGATAAATTAGAGTAATCAAAAAGCAAAGAAGAAAATTTAGATAATAGTAAATAATAAATATTTTTTAAGTAAATTATTTAAAAATTAAGTCATTTAATCTATGTAATTCACAAACATAGATCTCCAATTTATTGTTAAAAAATGTAATATTTGTTGATTTATATTCTTTAAAAAAAACATTCAAGGATGGAAAGAAATATCAATTATGAAAAATACTCTATTGAATTCAAATGGAATGAAAAAGATGGAATCCTATTAATTATTAAAGAGATTGTTATTGTATGATCAATTTAAATGATAGGATATTATTAAATTAGGTTTATATTAAAGTTAATATTTATAACAAAGGAATGTAGGGTTATTTAAAAATAAAATGCTATCATAAACAATTATTATGATATTGAAGGATTAGTACAATTTTTTAATTTTGAAAACAATAATAAACTATAAAATATATTTTAGTTTAAATAATTTCTATATAGTTGTGCTAATCATTCTGAAGGAATTATAAAAAAATAAAGTTTCTGATATATAAGAAAAGCTCAAAATCATGTTCAATTTTGGTAAGATTGAATTTTAAAAGTATTTTATTTTTCAAAAAAATAATTATTTAATAAATGTAATAAATTATTAACATCACCTAGTTCTTTTTATAATCAGTATACAAGTTATGGACAAAAAGATAATTATCATTTGATTAACTACAGAATATTGATTCAACAATAGGTCCATCCTTAAATATTTTTCTTTTGCTATTTGGCTTAATTAATATGAATTGTGGATTACTTTAAATTTCTGATTCTTTTATTTATTTTTCTTTAAACATTTGGACTTATAGTTTGATGCTGATAAAATTCATTCAGAAGAATAGAACTTACATGAATATTTATTTAAAATTAATTGCCATTAATTAAACTTACATTATTCAATTTAAGAATGAATGTATTTATGAGTTTGAAAAATAATATCTATTAGACATTTTTATTGAGATTTTAATATTCTTAGATATAAATTAGA